TTTAGACGGGCCAAATGGGTCAGTCCGCGTCCAAATGGGCCAACCCGTTACGAACCAAAAAAAATTTTAACCCATACGGGTTGGCCCATCACGGGTTGCGGATTCTAAATGTGTGTCCAAGCCTGCCCCGTTGCGGTCTTACTTGGGCCTAACACGCGGACCGCAGCCCATGTTGACATCTCTATTTGTAAATTTAGGATATACTAGATTTTGATCCACGCAAAGCGTGGAATTAAATATTTAAATATATTTTCTAATCGATATTAATATTAAAACGTGTATTCTAATATTTCTATACGTACAAAATGATATGTATTGTGCATAAATATAAGAAAATTAAATTTTTACTAAACATATTTCAATGTCATATGTTTTGATCAATTTTATATAAAAATATTAAAACTAATGCAAATGTTATTTGTTTCAATTTATTTGAAGTGTCAAATTGAGTTTTATTATTTGTGTAAAATTGTAGAGTATGCGATAAATCAAATAAATTTTAGATTTATATAAATTTGTCTGACGTAACAAACAAAAAAATATATGTTTTCTAATAATAAAATGTAAATATATTTATAAGTGTAGTTATCATCTACAAATAAATAATATTGTTAGAAATATAATAATAAAAAGCTTTTTAATATATCAATTTTTTAAGAAAAATAGATGATATAGTAACTTTAAATATTACATTTAGTTAAACTTTAAATTCTGTGAAATATATATTAATGGATTTGTGTTATAAAATTAATAAAAACATATAGAGATTTCCACCATAGCATATAGTTTTAATTAAAATGTTTTCATTAGTTATTTAAATGAGATATTCCTTAAAATCCTCATTGAATAATACATATGATTTTTTCACCAATTGTCTATTCAATTAACATATAGAGGATTAGTGGCATTTTAAAGAAAATTTCAAAATGATGAGATTTTTGAAAAGTGGCATTTCTAAAAAATTATCTGCATTTAGTCTAAATATCATGCAAATTAAATTTTGTAAGATAAAATATATTTATCAATAGATTTATCTATACTAGAGATATATCTTTGTTATTTTTAATTTTTTCCGTATATTAAAAATATCATGAATTTTTTTTGAATATTCTAACGTATGTCAAAAAAATCTAATAGTCATTGAAAAAAAAGATATTCTCACATATACTTTATATTATTTAAATAAAAATTTTCATATTAATTATCATATATTCCTTGCTTCCATATTTGTTTAATAGTTATATATTGTATATATGATATAAATTTAGTATAATTATTTACACAATTATGTCATTAGAAGTTTTAATAGCTTTCATTAAAAAATTTTTAAAATTCTTTTTGGATGACACTTAGGATTTTCACCTAGTGTCTCTTCTATTAATATATAGAAGATTATTTTATTTCTGATATATTCGAATTAAAATGGTAATATTCCATCTTTATCGTATTGTAAATAGGTAATACTTTTTATTTTCATTATTCTGTTACGAGTTATCATATAAGAGAAACCCTAGATGTTTGGTATATATATTTGTGTCTTCGTGGCAGGAAAAGAATAAAAATAAAGATTAGAGCATTATAACATATCATTAGAATAGAATTTAGCCTAAAATTTGGGAACATTATAAAATTCACAGAAAATCAAACCTATAAGTGAAACTTTAAGTTATAATAATGGATTGACTCATGAAGAGGGAAACACAACATTTGTGAGGTGACTAATATTCTATTTTATTTGACCATTCAATTTTATTAATATGGTTTCAGTGGTTGTATTTATAAATATATTTTGTTTTGGTCAGAAGTATGTATAAGTATAATAATTTTGATATTTTTATAGGTTTTATAGTTATTTATTTGTGAGTTTTTTCTCTTGTGTTTGTTTATAGGACGTGTCGATTTTTTCTTTTCAGTTTCACTCTTCGTTCTCGAATTACAGTTGTATAAAATATTTGTAAGTTATCTAGCCATCACGAAGCCAATGTGTTAAGTTTCAAAAAAAAAAAACGAAGCCAATGTAAAATAAAGTTTTGTTCAAATAATTTACCAATCATTTTCTCAAGTGAAAGGGAACAAATTACAGAGAAACAAAGAAAGAGAACTGCCCATTGCTTCATACTTGCTCCTTTGCATGTGAAGTTAGCATAATGTTTTTTTAGACATATCCCGAAACTACAGTGATTGTCAAACTGCAAGACGATGAACACATGATGATGAATTGACAAAAGATTCGAAGTATTTGTCTGATATAACACAAGCTGGTTCTAATGTGGAATGGACCGCTTCAAAGCTTGAGAAGGTTTGCTTGGAGGAGAAGACATCTGAAGCTCGGATTAGGGCACTCAAACAAGAGTTAACAAAAAAAAACTTAAACTAATCATGTTAGAGGAGGGCCATGATGATCCTTTGGAGAGCCATTGTGAGATATCGCTCACCATAGCTAGGAAATAGAACATGTTCTTATGAAACATGTTAGAGCAGAATCTACATTGTGATTACTGAAAATACAAATAAAAATAAGGGCTTTAAATTTAACAAGGCTAACCAAAATGACAAATTAATGAAAATATATGATGATAATATCCTTACGAATCAAATAATATCTCATAAAGTATCTTCTCAAGATCGATTCATAATCAACGAAAAAGAAAAATAAGTTCTCAGATATGTAGTTAGTCGGATCGACTATAAGTGTCATGTCTCATCTAAAGAAATAAATAGAATTATTAATATGGCCTTCTAAACTTTATATAAAATCACATACGGTAGTCGGTTTTTTCCCCATCATGCATCATGTTGTGTAGAAGATCTTGATCCATGAATTGTAATCTGCAAATCATCTTCCATCTAATATAATATGAGTAAAAAAATCATCTTCGTTTAGTATACGTTCATTAATACAGATTAATACTGATATACTTTAACAGTAGAAGAATATAATTTTGTTGCATCCTGATATACATTCACGAATTTAAATATAAATTTATGATCAACCGTAAAAAAATGTTACTTCTCTAACTAAAACTCAAAATTGTTATAAACGCAAAATAAACTTTGAAGAAATGATTCAACAAATGACTAGAAAGCGAAGAAGAGTATCATTAGGGAAAGCCATAATGAAGAGGAGATAAACAACATAATCTAGAGACATCACTTAATAGAAAGATGATAACAATGGGTTACTTTCTCAAAATTCTCTAGGTATCCTAATGCAACCAAATGCCTAGAAGAGTTCCAACCCCATTTTTCTTATGGTCTCTACCCCTCTTCTCCTTTCATCCATCCTAGAAATATCGGACATAGACCATGTTTTCCGAACGTGGTCCCAAATACAATAAACACTCTCGCTCGAATCTTATATTCTCTGGTGGTAGCATTAAACGTCAGAAAATCTTCCAGAGAAAATCCCTTCTTATCCTCTCGAATATGTTTTTGACGATATTATACATGCATGGTTCAATGCATCTTTACAGGATTGTCGTATCTCACCAAGAAAACTTAAGCTGAAGTGCGTCTCTCATCCCTAAGAGGACAGAAATCCAAAGTTGCTAAGTATTCATGATTATTGAATGTAGAAGTCCAATTGATAATTATAAGCTACTAAAATTATAAATTTCAATTATGATATATACCTTAGTTAATTACTAAATGTAATGTTTTCTTAAGGTATTTTTAAATTTCGCTCAAGGCTCTAACAAAAACGAAGTGGACAAAAAGTTTCACTTAGAAAACATTAGATTTTTGGTGTAACTTTTGTTGCACTCTTACGATTCGTTTCTTCATAAATCCACATGGTAAGGCCACCCAAAGACACGCCTCCATGAAAAGTCATGCATTTGATCTTCAATCAGTCATTGTTGCTTCTGTCTCCTATACACCGGTTCTTGATCATAGAGAACGCTGCTTATGATTCATGGATGCAAACTTAGTATTCCTTGGCATTGTCAAAGGTACAAGTCGTTGACTTAAGTTTGACTCATCGCATGCGAAAAATTTGTAATCATATCACTCAATCGAATCGGGAAATCAACAGAATCATCAAACCTATAAAACACTAAAAGTGCAAAATTATGATTTGCAATGGACCGAAAGCACCTATATTAACCAGAAGGATGTAGGTGAATACAATGTCGCTGTTCCTTTAATTTGTTCTTTTAATTTGTTTCTTCATGTATATTAAAAAATAACATGTTAGAAAAATTATATTTTAGTGACTAACAATTTTGAAACAAAAAATATTAACTATAATCTTTTTTCCTCTGAAGACGGTTTTAAGAAAAAACATTAACTATAATTCTATTATTTCAAAAACATTTTTTAGCTAAACGGTTTTCCGAAATTTTTTTAAAAGAATCCCTAAAATCTAATAATTCATCTCATTCTATTGGTCAATTGATTTGAACTAACTGAAATTGATCGGACTAACCAAAATTAACCAAAATGTTTCATGAAAAACCGAATCAAACTATTACTTCAGTTTATTCGGCAACATTACATACGAACCAAACTTTGCCATAACCAACCCAAAAAATTCAAAGAACCGATAAACCGAATCAAATCGACCAAAACTAACACA